GAAGCCTCAATCTCAACACCAGGAAATTCACGGGCATTGAATTGTAGTCCGTCCGTGCCTCGGGGTGGGGGATCGATGTGGACATTGTCTGAGTGGGAGGGGGAGTTTGAACCAGAACTGTCAAGTCTTTCCAGCGGAATGAACGTAATTTATCCTTTAACCTATACTTAAACCATAGTTATTTGAAATTTCTTTGGGACCAATCTGGTCTAGTATCCAAATACTTCAGTTACACGGAAGGATCTGGGTACCAGATTTGGACCAGTCATATATTGCATGATCAAATGGTTTTTCGGGGGAAATGTAGGGGGGAGTGGACCGGTCGTCCACCAACAGAGTATGCATGGGGGACTATTGAAAATCGACTGGTAATTTACTGCCAATGACAGAGGTTGAAATCATAAGGAAATTACAAGTCTTATTATGGGGAATCAGGTAAAGTTCATCGTTACTCAACCAAAATCCTCTAAACCTCCCTCCCCTCCCTCCCCACCCTCGCCATAAATGATGACGGTTCCCCAACCCAATTTGAAAAACGAAAACACCTTTCTTTTTTAGTTCCCCTTTTTAATACCTTTGTGGCTGTGCACTGCTCTGAGAAATTTACCTTCCTTTTTCTACGAAAGCATGTTGATATTTGACCAATTATCCCACTTTGGGCGGAAAAGGCATTGGGCTGGTTCCTGCTTGTCCCAGAGATGGGAGATGCTGGTTCAGTGCCTGTGGGTAGCTGCTCTAACCTGAAGGAGTCTGCGTGCATCCTGCAGGTGGGGAAACTGCACCAATGTTTGCTGAATTCGTGTGAGTTGTCGACTGGATTAGCTGAATAGGCTGGTCACAATCACGGTCCCGGGCGATCAGTAGCGACATAACGGGCAGTACAGTAGAAACAAAAGGCGATGGAAAAGACAGTGGCGAAGAAGGCGATTGTACCGACTGCAATGCTTGCGTTCTCGCCGTCGTTTAAAGAACTAGAAGTGTAAGCGGCCCCGGTAAAAATTGATAGGATCCCGAGCGTTTCGAAAGTTCCTAGGGTTGGGAAAATTATAGGGAGTTATAAGACACAGCCACATGCAGGCGCCGTTACAACAATTTTTTTTGTTGCCACACTGCTAATCGAGCGAGCAATTGTTGCGAGTTTCCCTGCAGAAGCCATCCAGAAAACCTTTTACCTGACCACAGAATCGATGCAGTAGGTGTAGTAGGGACAAGATGACAAACTACCAATTCATTTGCTATCACAGCACCGCTCACCAGTTCTACATTGGTGATGGGAACAGGAACAAGAAGGCAAACTACTCATGCATTTGCTATTACAGCACTGCTCACCACTGTCACATTGGTAGTCGTACGAACAGGAACAAAAACACATACTACTGATGCATTCGCTATCTTACAGCACTGTTCTCTCGTTTCACATTGGTGGTCGAAAAAACAGAAGTAACAACATCATCTGTACAACAGGACTCAACGAGGGAACAATCGCAACTGAGCTTAAAAAAAAGAAGAAAAGAGACAACAGAAAGGACAGAATCCCTTTGTGAACCACTGTAGACAAGTTTATGAGTGACGGCTGTTCTTAACTCGTGAGATGATTACCTCTTCATATGGGCGAGGCAATTGCGTTCGTTCTTAAATTTATTTCCGGCTTTCGATCAGTGCTTTTGTTAGGGAGACTATCACTAATTGACGAATACCGCTGGGGTAGAGAGGGTCGATATTCCCTCTACTAGAACACACCCTCCGTGACAAGGGGATAGTCCGTCCAAAAGGGGCACTCCTTCATTCAGGCTACGAGGTGCAGGGTTTCATGAGTAGTGTAGAAAATCTCCTTCGTTTTTTAATTTAAAGTAACAATTTTTCTCTTCCTCTCCCCCCTTCGTATTCTTTTTGTATTCACGCGCGGCGCGCGTGATTTTACAAATTAGGCAATTACATCAAAGAGCTCTAACCTAGACATTGGAAAACTGACGGGGAAATTTTTCGTGCACTTTTAGTTTGTTTTCACGGAGTTTTAATGAGTTGTTTTTGAGCGTTCGTTCGCGTAAATTTGTTACTCCATTGTTTGAAATTTTAAGAAGTTTCGGAGTTTTTATTTCAGCCAAATGTTGTGGTTCATTTAACAAGTTTAATACGTATTTTTTACGGAGTTTAGATCGTAGCCTCTTTTTTCGTAAACGGATTTTATTACAAGTAGCCCTACGGATAAAAGGAAGAGAGGCAGTTATTGAGCTCAGGAAAAAGAGAATGACTTTGTTGTGATTGGTTTAAGTTCTGGTTCTGGTAGAAGCGCAATGAATGAAACGTATTTTTTTTAGAAAATCAATGAATAATTTCAATATGTTTGATTCATATGCTCCTGGAAACACCCCCATTCTTGTCTGGGACGGGGCGGGAAAAGGGCCCGCCGGCGAGGTTGGAAACACCCTTTATTGGCGAGCCAATTTTCTTAGCATCATCTTGTCTGCGCAGAAAAGTTAGTTGTCCATCAATCATAACTCTTCAGAAACGCAACTCAGCTTTATTATCCAAAAGAAAAATTGATGCCAGTTTAAAAAGAAAATTAAGAAACTAATTTTAAATGCCTAAACTGGGCGCCTGGAAAAGATTTATAATATCTGCTCACCAAAGTCAAATTTGAAAACTAACATTAATTGCCGAAGGCGAAAACGCAATTCTCTATGGTAATTTAGTCCCACTATAGGATATGTTCATCTGTAAGGAAAATGAATCAAGTTATAGGATATTTAAAAATTTCCGTAGCACGCTGAAGGGTTTCTTGCGCGACAGGGGGGTGGAGTAGGAAGGGTTTTCTTTCTTGGTCATCTCTGCAATTAGATCGCCTAAAAGTAAATCATCTGTTACCCATAGAGTACATAGCAAAGGCCTTCACTCTCTAATAAAACATCTATAAAAAATTAAATGCTAGCGCACAAAAATCCTTGAAAGGAGTAAATTTACATAACAAGTTTCCGGGAAGATTACTTTACTTGTCACGCAATTCAAATAAGGAAATCGCCGAATGTCTCGCTTTTCACGCTATTCGACCAAGGAGGAAATGGCAGCTTATCATCGAGAAATCAACGATTGCGTAAGAAGCTTGCGGTACGTATCATAACTTTTCTTTTATTGTATTCCAATATATAAAATATTATAGGAAAAACTTGCGCCATATCATGCATATAGGAGTCTATGTCTTAACTTAAAATGAGTTGCCTCTTGAACTAAAAAATGAAATATTATATGTTTCCGTGTTGCTTTGCTTCAGACATCTCAGTTATCTTACCCTGAAGGCGGCTTCGAAACGGCTTATCCTTGTACCTGAGCAGGAGGATACGGGGTTGGACCAGGTGGCGGATAAACGGGTGGTGCCTGGTTGTAATCTGGAGCTTGTACTTGATCTGTCATCATGTGTGTCTCAGTTGAAGTGAACTCTGGATGGTGCTGTTGGGTATTGACCTCAGTACCAGGTTTACGATAACGGTAGAACGGACAACAAGAACAGCAGAAGCAGGATACGATGGAAATGATGATGGCGACGAAGATAATTGGACCGACAATAGCGCCTGCATAAGCTTCATCGCTCCAACCACAGTATGAACAAACTCCTCCACAACAACGCTTTCCGTCTACACACTGATGGTCGTACAAACAAGGACCTTAAGCAGGCAGGACGGCAACGCCAAGGAAGACTTCGATTAAAACATTAATTTCTGCCTTTAATTGGAATTTCATAAATGGCTGCATGAGTTTACCGTCTCATACGGCACAACTCTCAACCTCAACTTCAGCATAACGTATAAAAGAAGCGTTGAGTTCCAAATGGGAATTAAAATAATTTGCCTCGCGGTTTCGGTTTGCAGACGACGCAGATTGTGGTGATTTCATGTTGTTGTTTCGCATAGGACGACTAAGAAATGTACAAAGTTTTAAAATGCACGTGCTGAGCTATTGTTTTGCCAATTAGATCTTTTGTTTTTCCATGTCTTCGTTGCCGTCGCCGTCGTGGTTTGCCTAAGGGACCTCAGGAAACCACAGCGACGACAGCAACAAGGACATGGCAAAGCAAAAGATTTGATGAGTAGATCAATAGCTCGGCACATTTTTTTTCTAACATTGCATATTTTTCAGCCGACCTCTACGAACTGCAAAAGTGCAATCACCAATACTGATATCTGTATGGTCTGAAATCGTACACCCCGTCAGCGAATTATTAAGTGTCGATTTGGAACTCAACGCCACCAAAGGCTGCCCAAGCTCTTATGTACGTTGAAAACCTCGAAATATCAGTAGTGTATCTTAGTGTTTCACTGATCTTGCGCAATAACGGTCATGGCTTTTCTTATGTACGTTGAAAACCTCGAAATGAACAACTCGCTCAAATGGGCTCTTTTCATCAAAGTAAGCGGTCAGATAACAAGCAATACGCTGTGGAAGTAAGGTGAGGTATTTTGACGTATTTTTAATTCCTTAGAGCGGTCGTAAATATTCCCATACAAACTCTTATAATTCCGCCATGACCGTTATTGCGCAAGATGATCATCTCACAGCTGAAGCTTGGGCCGCCAGTGACGCCACTAGCGCCGCACCGCAGCTTCGGTAAAACGTATGTAAATTACATGCGTTATGCTGAATCTGAAAGGAAAAGGTAAGTAGTTTCTACAACAACAAAAGAGCAGTTTTAACATCCTTCATCAACATACATTTTAACCCTTTAACCCCTAAGAGTGACTAACATATAATTCCTCCTTAAAAAATATCACCCTGAATCTCACATTAATGACATGAGAATAAAGGAAATGATCACCAAATTAAAAAACTCTTGATTGTTAAACAAATTCTCCTTGTCAGCACCTTGGTAAAAGTACAGAGAACAGTATGGAGAATATGAAAACTGATGTTAGGGTGTAAAGGGTTAAAGCACCCACTACTATGAAGCCAAGTATCATGACATCATCTGGCCTGCACAGCTAAAGTAAGGTTTCAGTCAATCACAACGCTCCACAAACGCAACTCAGTTTAATTAATTAAAAACATTTTACATATGCCACTTTGAAAACAAAATAATGAAAATACTTTGAGTTAAAATGGAAATCTTAACTTTTCTAAAACTAATTTTCCTAACTTTTAACTATAGTTGTGACTTTGTCACGAAATAAAAAGTCGCTTAAGAGTACAAATAACGTTCGTATCGACATTATTTTTAATGAGCAAAACGACGAACTTCCGGGAAGATTATTTTGCTTGTCACGCAATTCTACTGCGGAAATAGGCCATTTTACAGTTATTTACTTCGTTGCCAAGTCTTTGAGTTGAAGTGAGGCTGAAGGTGACCTCGTTGTGATAAAGATTAGTATCTAGTTGGCATGATAACAAAGTAATTTATATTTGAAAAGCAGCAAGCTTTGTATCATAACAAGGTCACGCTTAGCCTCGATCCTGTTCAAAAGCTTGGCAACCAAGCACGCAACTGTAAAATGGGCTTATTGTAGCTTAATGTCGAGAAATCGACGGTTGTGTCAGAATCTTACGATGCGCTATAACTTTTCTCTAATTCTACTCTAGTGTATTAACAGTTCTACGCAAAATTTCCCACTACCATGCAAATAAACTATGTCTTTATATGAACGAGTTGCTTCTTAATCCAAAGATAAAGATGTTTGCTTTCATGTTGCCTTGCTTCAGACATCTCAGTACTTGACCGGTCCAGGAGGCGGCATCGAAACGGCTTGTCCTTGTACCTGAGCTGGAGGATACGGGTTTGGAGCGGGTGGATAAGCGGGTGGAGGCTGGTTGTAGCTTCCAGGCGGTGGATACTGCACAACTCGTTGCTGCGTCGTGCTAGTGGTCGACACGAATTGCTGATACGGCGGCTGGCTTGTCACAATCACAGTACCGGGCGTACGATAGTGGTAATACGGACAACAGGCACAGCAACAGCAGGATACGATGGAAATGATGATAGCAAAGAAGATTATTGTACCAATTACAGCGCCTGCAATGCTTCCTGTCGTCCAAACACATGAATCTAAACAGTCGCCATCGCAGCAAACCTCCGAATCAGGACATTGCCAATCGCTCGAGCAGGAATAACAATAATACCTGCAAATGCCATCAGAACAACAGTTTTTATCGATACAGTCGGTATCGTCTAAGCAGGACATAGCACCTTGCAATCCAAAGAAAGAGACCAAAAGAACGATGAAAAATCCCTTCGGCGCCATTGTTACAAAGCGATAGACGACGTGTTCGAGCAGACTTAGAATGAAAGAGAATGTGGGTGCGGTTGGCTCGCGTCCAAAGTTTATCTCCGCCTACTTCCCTTTTGTCATCCTGACGTGACATATAAACAATAGCTATGCCTGCACGTCTCGGTTCAAGGATTTAGACGCGATTAGTCTGTTTTTGTCATTTCAACTATAGAGTTATTTCAACTGTAGAGTTATTCCCAAAATTGCCGCATAAAAGGATTCTTTTTCATTTTTATCCTACCATTAACATTCGAAAATAAATTGATTCGACTCTAAGGAATATTTTCTAGCCCATTTCGGAAGTTGTATGACTGAACTGAGCATTAGCCGAGATGAGAATGTAAATTGCATGACCACCTTGCCTGAGAAAGCCCTTCAAATTAAAGAGAGTGTTTTGTGTCTTGTTCTAACTGTAGATGTTTTCCAAGAGAACATAAATTGTTTATTTATATTTTCTTGTGTTCACTCAATGGTTTCTCCTACGAAGCAAACGGCAGGTTTAAGCAATTTTCGATATAGATACGAACTTCCCGGCTTAAAGTGCACAAAGTACCATTATTAAAATTTGTGATCACCATATTTCAAAACTTTACCAGTAGTCAAAGGTAGGATTTCATGGTCATCAGCCTCCTTTGATTCAAGGGACTCAAGAAGACGGTAAGGCTTACTATAATTTACGAAACGAAACGAAACGAGATGAAAATCTGAATATTTTCATTTCTAGTAGAAATTTCTATTTTGCAAATCATAAGCATATTTCCATTTCGCAATTACAGATTTCCATTTTTAAAATCACTAGCATATTTCCATTTCGCAAATTACAGATTTCTAAATGGAAATATGCTAATGATTTGCAAAGTAGAAATCTGTAATTTGCGAAACAAAATTATTCTGGGACTCAGGGGAAGAAAATAAAAGAGCTTGGGTCTGTTACGTTTTCCCGGCAAATATGATATTTCATCTAGTAATATGCTGCGATACTCAGTGCAAATGCTAATTGGTAAACGAGAATCCATCTTAAAAGATATTGGATCTTTCATGGGTGATAGCTGATATCTGGCAGAGCGTGAATCTTCAACGAGACCCTCAAGGATAATTGATTATTAAGTAATACTCATTTCCTTAGCGACAGCTCGACAGTACACTTCTCAGTTTTCATTATTCAACGAGTCAACAAGAGGACTGGGTGTGAGTCTCAACATCTATACCCAGATTTCTCGATTACAACGCGGTCAGCGATATAGCGCCTGCGCAATACAGTATCGGTCTCTTACGCCATCGTGCAGATCAAATCATCCTCGTGTTTAGCGACGGAAAAACTCTTTTATGACATTTTACCTGGAATTCTATTCACTACTGTTTAAGATTATTACTAACTGGTAAGTTTAAATGAACTGTCGCTTAAAAGTTAGTTTGAAATGCCGAAAACCTCTTCGAATACCGTATTCTAAAATTCTCCCATGTTGTCGAATCGAAGAAGCATGCTGTCCCTGTAGCACCATGTTCTCGTACTATCGATCTGTATAAAGATTTCTTTTTCTGTATAAGTTGAGGAAGGAATCCTTATGATAAATGCTAACAGAAGGACTCGTGTTATCGATATCTGTAATCCAGTGATTAATGATCTTACAAAACGATCACTTCTTAGCTGATGGAACTGTACGTACCGTAGATATTGTTTTTTCCATATCTGATGCGTATTCGATTTTGTTGGGCGTATAAATTTAAGTTATAAGTATTCGGAAATAGCTCACCGAAGGTGGGATTTTGAACAAGATTTTGTCATCCTGTGTAATACCTTAAATTGCTTTTGTATTATTGTGGTTATAAATGGACCTCTTTAAATCGTATTTTTTTTTTTTAAATAAGGGTTTTCTGAGAGACAGAAAATAGCTCTTGTGGGTAACAAAATTTACGCGACGATGGCTGGGTTTTTTTTAAAACATCAAACAAAATGTAGCGGTAAATTTAAGTACAAACCACCTGTACACAGTTTATTGAACTGCACCACTGCTCGTTGTGTTATTTTTAGTTGTCCAAAGACTGTTGACATCGACAAGATGGACCTCAGTAACCCTGCTTTCTATAGTTGCTCCAAATTTCACACTATAGACGTTTTTGTTTTCATTTACAGAGTAACTTTTCTATTTATATATAATCCACTCTGGATGATCCATACTCGGATGAACCCTGCAGCGTAAGGGGGCATGAGTAAGGGTGAATAACCAAGTGGAGATGAATCTGCATTGCACTACAGGCACCATTTGGATGAAATCTTTTTCAGCAAAGTACTGGATAATTACTTTGCTTGCATGTTTTTCTGAAACTTTATGCCAAGGCTGTCCAAAGCCTTGAGTGTTATCTTTAATTCCTAATGGTGAAAGAAATTTTTTAAAGCTTTTTGATGTACACAATGGTCTGCTTCCTTACAGCAGAAGAATTGGTAAAATGTTCCACAGAAGTAAAACTTGTTCATTTATTCTCTTAAATGTGGTATGAGTTTTGGAATAGAATTGTGCTTACTGAGAGAGGAAGAGGGGAGAAAGTAAACCTCATCCAAGACATTTATAGCATGGTTGGCCAGGGGCTTTTTAGATGAGCAATATGTTAAGAAAGAAAATACATTTGTGAGTAATATGAAAGTTCTGATTTTTTCGACAGACCAGTATGAACCAAGAAAAGTTATCAAAATTAAAAAGTGGAGTTCAAATAGGAGGAAAGGTAAGATGTTTATTTAGGTACATCTACACTGTCAAGAATCCAGACATTACAAAAATGAAAAACAATTTAACAGTAGCAGCCAGATAAGTTACTGGTGCTTCAGAAGCAAGTAGCTGGTTACAGTGCTGGCTGCTGGTGCTTCTGGAGAATCTAGGAAACCACCTTATCCTGGCCATATGGGATGAGAAGGAAGAGGAATTTTAAGAGGTGATATGATGGTGTGAAAGAAGAGATTTAATTTTGAGAATGTTAAATTGATCATGCTACAATGTAAAGCATGACAATCATAAGGAAGCAGGGAGTATATCAGTTGGCACATTGGTTATTTTCTATGTTCAGGTGCAGACTTACAGTACAGTTGATTTTTTGTGTGTTGACAGCACTGATGTAATATAGGCAAGACTGATCAAAGGTACTATAGTTTTGCACACCGGGAAAAAAAAGAAAGAAAGAAAGGCAGTGGGTCTCTCTGATGTAGTTGCTTTGGCAGCTGAGCTATTCTCCAATGGCTTTTACCAATAAGGAGAGAGCCTGAAGGTAGACTTAACACCTGAACTGTCTCTGTCGTCAGAGCAAAACCTGGTTACGACAGTTTTCAACATCAATTTATCCATATAAGCTGCAGGAAAAAAAAAAGTGCGTAACATTTAAGTTAACTTTTTTAGGGCACACCCAGAAGAAAAAAGAAGATAGTTCACAGAACAGCTGGAGCAGATGATAAGAAACTCCAGAACACCCTCAAGAAGCTTGCTGTGAACTCAATTCCTGGAATTGAAGAGGTAAATTTTGATTAATTATAATGGTTGCCACATGTAACAAGTAGCTTCTAGTACATTCACCTTGCTTCTTTTATGCAATTACAAGGTTAGATCAATTTCATTCTCATTCTTGATATCACTGATGGTCCATTGCAAGTGATAAGTTGGATCAGGTATGAGAAAAAAATTTTTTTTCCATCAGTTACAATGTTCCAATTACTTGTCCTTTGCAGGTAAACATGATTAAGGATGATGGGACGGTCATTCATTTTACTAATCCAAAAGGTAATTCTAGGAATCTATTGAACTAACTCCTGATAACTGGAATCTTTCACTTTCTCAAAGTAACAAGGATTCACACTGTGTGTCTTGCATGCATTAAGTGCAATTTTACCCAAATATTTTAAATCCTCTACAATGGGAAACTCTTGCTAACTCAATTTTACCCTTGGAGTTTTTTTTTCTTTTCTGGCTGTTGCTTTGTTTAACAGCAAAAGTGTTCATTTTGTTTTTAACTCTCCTCTCTGTGGTATACCTTTAGTACACATTGTTCAGACAGCAGTTAATCATTTTCCCCACAAAAATTTATCGCTTAACCCTTCAACTCTATGAACTTCTCCCTATTCTATCCTCACATGTACATACATCATCTAGCAAACAGGTACTCAAACTTGTTGTGTAGAATTTGTTATCTTGATGTAACACCAAATTCTCACAACTAATTTACAAGGAAATGTGTAGCAACAAGAGGGAAGAATAAGCAATCCATGTAACATTGAATTGTTGTACTTCTCCTAGTGCAAGCTTCCCTGCAGTCAAACACTTTTGCTGTGGTTGGTCAGTCTGAAAATAAGTGTGAGTATAATGACAGACTAAATTTTTTATTGTATGTGGTGTACTTTTGCAAGACTATGGGACTGAATGTGGTGGGTGTAAAACAAAACTGTTCTCGCCTACAAATTTCCTTGATTGAGTAATGGATGGTTCATTAAAAAAGTTATGTGTGTAGTGACATTATCAAAACAGTTCATTATTATTTATGTTACTTGTAGTAAAATGTATGTGTACACCAGCCATAACATGAATTATAATCTTGTATGACTGATATTTTTTGTGCTTGTCTCTCAGCAATTGCAGAAATGCTTCCTGGAATTTTGAATCAGTTGGTAAGTACACTTGTATCCTTGTACATGTACTCCTTAGAGTCCTTAGAGCTAGTCTTTTGTTAGATAAGGAGAAGTCCTTGCCACTTGGAAAAGTCTGTTTTGCAAGTCCAAAAAGAATCATTGAAAAAAAAGATGTTAGCTCACTGCTTGGAACTCTGAAAGAGAGGTGCGCCAACATCATTTCTTTTTTACTCATGTGACAGACCTCGCTGAAATGGAGGGAGTGCTTGTAGTTTAGTCATTTGTAAGCTTTGTAAACTTTCTCAACAGAAACAGACTCAGATATCATACAACATACTTGTTTAAGTTTAATACATTACACCTGTCACTAATCATGGCTGATTGTTAACTGTTTAACCCCTTTGGGTGGCTGGCTTCTAATTTCTCCATACAATGTCACTCTTGAGTCAAATACAAAGGTCATGAGAATAAAGGAAATGATCACCGTTATAAGGAGGTCTTAAGTTTCAAAACAAATTCTCCTTGTCAGTATCATAAGAAATGCAAAGAGAACAGTCTGGAGAGAAAGAGTTCTACTGATAGGGAGTCAAAGGTTACAAAATGCTCTAATATGATTACTTTTCTCATTACCAGAGTAGTGAAGGTCTGACCAATTTGAGGAAGCTGGCAGAGAAATTCCCAAGTGAGTCAAAGATATCTGATAAGTAACTGCTTACTGTATCTCTAAAGTGGAGGTGGCTAGTGATATTTACCCTGTGATATTTACCCTGTGATATTTACCCAGTGATATTTACCCAGTGAACCACAAAGCACCGATAGAAACTGACACTGGTGTAAATAGTTTTTTTAGTGTATACTAAAATAGTGAGATAATATAGCCCAAAAAGATGATGTTTATTCATTTATTCCTGAAACAATTACAATATTTTGGGGTGCAAATCCTGCCACGTTGCCTAGAGATATTATCCGATGTTTTAGTGTGAGCTAAAATATTTTTGTTAACCCTTAAACTCCCAAGATCTGGATGTTAAGTCTCCCCTCTAGCTGCTACACAGTCATTTCCATGTAAATTGGTTATGAGAATTTGATATGAGATCAAAAGAACGACTTCAACTTGATAAGTTTGAGTATTCTCATTACCAGTTTGCGTGATAATGTGTGAATATTACAGGGAGAAATCACATGTTAATCACTTCTGGGAGCTAAAGGGTTAAGAGATGAAGGGAAACACAAAAGCAGCAATTGATAAAATCACCATTAAAACAGGATGCCTATATGTAGAGAAGATTTAAACAGTTTGGAAAAAAATGATTTTACAATCTTCATGTGGGTTGCATTTCTATAGATGTAGAAACCATGACTAGTGTAGGTATCTCAAATGTTGAATCATTTGCTGTTGTCAGAATAAAAGTATTCCTTTGGAGCACTGAATAACAAACAACAATTTCAAATTAAACTGAATGTTGGGCTTGTTGTGTCACACTGAGGGTTCTGAATGTTGTGTCACTTTTGACTTGGAATAGTCAGCCTTAATAACGTACATATAGGTACTTTCGCATGGAAATCTTGACAGCTATGTACTTGTAACTGAGTAGCTGTTTTGCTGTTTCACTTTTAGCAGCAACAGATGGTGCACATGTCCCAACACATACTGAGGAGGTTGACGATGACGATGTCCCAGGTGAGACATTGCTCCTTTTTTCATTTACTTTATTGCAAACCAATAAACTAATAACCAGGAAAAAAAAAGTTTGAACCACCTGGCTGAGGGTTAGAGGGGTGAAAACTTCCCTCTTGCTGTACTCAGCTATTTTCACCTTTGGCATTCTCGAATTTCTCTCAGGCTTCTGCCTATTTCTTTTCACTCTTCAGAATATCTCTGGTTTGTAATAGGGACTGGTTTTTCAACAATCTTAGCATTTCTGACATTTAGACAACCTTAACTTCTGCTGACCTCCTCCAGGTCAGTCTCACTGTGACGACTAGACTACACAATCCAATGCTACTGCTGAAATTAAGAGTGTAACATAAGGTAGCTGTTTTAGGCTCTTGGGCCTCATCAGGGTAGGGAAAGGAGTTGAATTGACCCTTCTGTCCACCCCTCTTGAGGTGATGAGAATAGGGATAATTATCAATCAGATAACCACGTTCTCTGAGCTATCAAGACATGAAACGTAGGGCTGACAGGAGAGGGGAATTGATATGAAGATATTAGGAGTTCAAAGGCTAACTGCATTCTCTTACTCATTGTGATATTTTTTTCATCCACAGAGCTCGTTGAAAATTTTGATGAGCCCTCGAAGGCAGAGGGAGTCTAAAAAGATCCCAGTGTGGAAGACTAAATCTAACAACTGATGCTACCACACATATGCTGACCGCAAGTAATAAACAGACTTTGTGGCCTGCTTTTTCATTGTATATGTAATAGTTAACAAGACAATTTTTTGTGGTGTCCTATACACTCTTTGTGTTGTTTGATATGCCAGCAATTTATTGGTCTGTCAATAAAAGAATGAGAACTTGCTTTATGGAGTGATGGTTTTTCAGTATAAATTGAATTACTTGCATGCATTCCATGTTTACGATACAGCATTGGTTTTTTTTTAGAGGTGTTTTTTTTTTATGTAAACATAAAGCATGTGTTTGGACACAGCTATTGGGATCTCTCAGCCCTAATCCCTCTTAAAAGTGGTTTGGGGCCTCCTAGGAACTTAGGTTGTGTGGATAATAATATGTATGCTAAAATGTTAGCCTGCTTATTGGTTAGAGAACACCTTAATTGATCGCAAACAATGCAGAAAGTTGAAACTGAGTGCAGTAGGTTGAAATTACTCCAAATAGATTGGCAGGAAAGTTGCGAAGGCTAAACAGAACAAAATGGCGAACAGGTTAGGAGAAAGTAATAACGACTTAATCATGAACAAAAACATCCAAGAGAGCACATATAACTGGCTTAAAGTCTGGAAGTCTTGGTATTGTGTTGTTTGATATGCCAGCAATTTATTGCGCTGTCAGTAAGACAATAGGAACTTGCTTTAAGGAGTGATGGTGTATTTAACATAAATCGAATTACTTGCGTGCATTCTATGTTTACTATATGGAATCGGGTTTGTTTTTTTTTCGGAGGTGCTCTTTTTGATGTAATTACGAAGCATGTGTTTGGACACAGCTACTGGGATCTTCTCAGCATGATTAAGACGTTAGCTGCAAGACTTCCAGACACGGTTACGACAGAAGTATTGAAACACAGGAACCGGAGTCCCTGAACAAAATTCTCTCGGAGTTACCACAACGGTTCATACGAAAGATGGGAATTAAATTGCGGGCGTGATAGCATTCGTGTTCTTGTCAATGCAAATTCTAACTGACAAAGTATTTATCACCCAATTTCTCCTGACAGAAGGTTTAAAAGCTCGAAGCAAATACTAACGGAAAAAACCCCGCAAGCAAGCTAGGTGTCCGTATCTCGAATGTATCGATTAATCGACGGGCCCAAAGCCAAATGTAAATTTAGGAATGAATACTGAAATCAAAATACCATGTTATTTGAATTATAGTGGATTGCTCTAAGAAAGTGGCCGCTTGATGGATACCCCAGGCAACGAAAAGTTATATCGAAATTATACTGTAAACAAATTGCGAGGATGAAATGTCTCTTATCAGACTTTGGATCTTAATAGCACCGTACCCTGCACGAGGTAAGAGGTTTCTTTGGCACTATGCTATTAACACTTCTCCGTTCTCCTTTACCTCCAGCGAATAGCAGAAAAAGAGTTTTAAACCTTGATCTTACTTAATTTAATTTCAAAGTAAAAGCGGAGGACGAGGTTTTATCATACAATGGAATGGATTATTCGGACCATTTTCTAGACCAAAATTCCGTCACAACCGCGGAAAGTTTTATCTCAGAGAAGGCTTAAAATTTGATGATTTTTTTCTTTTTACTATTTTAAGAATAACATGGCCGACAAACCAGTCCAACATAAGCTGAAGGCGAATATTAAGTGACCTTAAACGTCTTGTTGTTAGTTGGGTGGAAATTCTGCAAATCGTATGTACTGCACATCCTATTTCGTAATAAACCGGGCGGACCCTGCGCACGCTTTGCTAGTTATGGCGGAGCTCGCAGTGCGCGCAGCATAGCCTTATACTTATAAAAATAGTAATGACAGCAACCCATCAGCCGAAAACTTAGGTATGACCGCACGTCCGTACGTACAATGTACTACTTTTGACATACGCCGCCAGTTGCATTTGCGGGCTACTGGAAACACGATGAATGGAGGGGATTTCGTAAGTAGAAGCGAAATGGAGAAGGTAATGCGCAGGCATTATAGAAAAATTTGTGATAAATGATCGGCGAAAAAAGCTGCTTGTTTGCGTTTCATTGGGGAAAAGGAAACTGGAAAAATGGAAATAGACACTCTGTCTACTGCCCTAAAATTTGAAGTCAGATGTGACACGGTTGTTTTAATGAGACCTAGCCGGACCCGCACCTGTCGACGGCTGAAGTACGAATATTGGTTCAGTCCCAAAAGAACTGAAAGTGTACACGGTAAAGGGTTTACGAATCTACGCTGAAATTTTGTAAATTCACTTTTAAATCGACATCTTCCCCGGCGTTGCTGTTCTGACCTCTTAAGGTCTCTATTAGCGTTTAGGCACGCGCGTTTCTTCGCTCGTGGAATAGTATGAGGCCTTAAGCAACGCGATCTTGCGAGAGGTCCGCAGAGGGTCTAGCGCTGATTATTAGAGCCAGACCCTCCGTAACCCTCTCCCCAACTCGTCTCAGTCTTCACGCGTGCAGAGAGACGCGCGTCCTGTATTTTAGCAAACCAACATCCACAAACCAAACGACAGTCGAAAATATTTATTTAGTGGAAGATAATTTCAGTAACAATAAAAATCAAACAGCAATAGAATTGTACATTAAATAATTCCAAATCGTTAAGATAATTTATAGAATAAATCTCTTATGTACAAAAATCGATTCACGAACAATTTGCGCCTTTGGCGAACTCTGTTTTCATAGTATTGACAGCTCAACTACGCTCGAGATTAGGATGGAAATTTAACTTCAAACTTTGCTTTGTGGGTCTTAAAGACCACTCCCTAAAAAAGCAATTCAGGAAATGATTGCTATTCGAAACTCCTGTTAGATAATAAATCGGTTTTCACAACATAATAAACGTCGAGGTAAACCTAAAATAAAAACGATGAAACAGTAGAAAATCAAGTAATAACTATCCTGTCAACGAAAATAATTACTGTGAAAACCGAAACAAAAAAAAAAGGTGACGACGCTTACTACAACTACGGTACGATACTTCAAACCACTTTGCGCATTTAGAATAATATTTTAAGGGAATCAGGAATTGTTTTGATTTTTCGGTTTCACTGCATGTGACAACTCAGCGGTCAAACGTAAAGCATGTGCAAGTGGTTCAATTTTGCGCAGCCGCGCGTCAATTTCCCGCGAAAATGTTGAAAGAAAACATAAGAAACGACCGCTGTCAAGCAAAACATGCATGAAAAAGCGAAACGTTTAGGGAAATTTGTAAAACAAAAACAAAAAATTGGGAAGGGGAAAACTTGACACTTTCAAACACGAGGCTTATTAAATTACGGAAATTCTGTTGATTCAACACTTTGCTTTGAACTTTACCTAAAAAGCAATACGGTTTTAAAACACCGTGGATAACTGACTTGTGTCGCTGTTTGTTACTCCTGGAAGACAAATCGTTATGACTTAGCTATCCCTACTACTCTCTCTAGACTTTAACGGTCATCTCCTCCGTGTCAGGACAATTTGAATAATTTGTTCATAGTGCTTTTGAGAAAAATACAATGCAGTTGTCAATCAAGATCATATTTTCCATTTTGCTTTACAAAGTCTCTCACGTTCTGCTTTCACAAGACGCAGCGTGTGTTACGTGGTCGCTTTTCCTTTCGTTAAGGGGTCTTGATCAACTTGCATCCATTCTATGAGCCTTCCAAAAAGGGCTCCTAACTAAGGTTGTTTGTCAGATAAGAATCAGTATTTCCACTGCGTACATGGTTGTACTTGAGAGACCGTTGAGGTCCTAAAGTGGCTTGGTGTCGCAGAGAAGAGGTGCATTATCAGATGACGTATTCATGTCCCTTAACTCAGAGCCACTAGCCTCGCACTCGCTTTGGAAACTAAATTCGCTGTTTCTCCTGGTTGGAGAACGTGCACTAAGCTGAAAATTAGCACTGTTATCAGGAAGGAAGAACGCCAATAGAAGAGAAAGAATAACAGAGCCAGCGCCGAATAGAAACGGTGCTCCAGATACGATTGTCTGCGGAAAAAAAAACATTTATAGCAAGGTAAAAAAAGAATGATTTTCTCCTCTGATAGTACCTGCTTTACACATATCCCTATGGCGATGAAGAGGAAAATTTACTATACAACTGAGAACCTCTTCTATTCTTCATCATTTCTTTTGTTCAGGAGTGATACTATATGTATAATACTGTATTTACATGTCATGAGAAAAACGAAAACGGTTACTAACTAAATAAGCTCTTGTTTGTTCACCAAATTCTCCTTGTTCTCCATAGCAAATAAGAACAGTGTAAAAAATAAGCATTCTGATATTGTCAATACCTTGCCGTACGGGTCCTCCATAATGGTGTGATTACTTGCAGCAGTGATATCGACAGTTGGACCTTCCTCGTCTTCTAAATCCACATGAAACACGTAAAACACCAAGCCAAAAAGAGCAGGTCCTATGCCATTACACAAGCCTCTTATTCCTGTTATCATACCTTGAACCACACCTAGCATAGAAAAAAAAAAAGAGAATAACTGGTTCAGATGTGTTGGTAACCTGTATTTAGCGGTCAGCCATGGGGAATGCGTAAAACAGGTTCCACAGGATGAGGGTGTTGTAAAACACGGGAAAAAAACGCTTATTGACCACTTAATTAACCACTTGATGTACAAAAACTCGCGCAAAATACCACCAACATTGATTTCGGGAGAAAAACATGGGTTACTTAAAAATACTTAAAAGCCTGTTCTTTTTTTTATTTGAGTGGTTCCACTTTAAATGACAGTTTAGTACAGGTACCACTTGATACAGGTGAATAAAGATGAAAATTGCAGTGTTTAAAGGGTAAGAATTTCGGCACTTTAACAACTGACCGCTTAATACGGTGCCAAGACGGTTGATTGACAAATGATCCAGAGGTATCTGAGGTATCTATCTCTCCTTTTATAGCGCGCCTTCGTGTTTAATACAGGTTCGACTGTATTATCCAACAAAATACGGGGTGATGTGAATCAAAACGACAGTGAATTCTTTTGTAAGTGGACATCCTCGGGAATTGGAAAAAGCGTCTGCTAATAGAACTGTCCGACTACGAGGATTTCTTCCCATAAGCGGACACAAAGAAAATTAGGGCGGATGTCCGCTGACACCGAGTATCATGTAACATACTTGCTTTAAATGTCAAATGAATGGGCAGCTCGCTTTCCCGCCGACAAAAGCAGATTTGACAAAACTTCCCCGCTGTTCTTTTGCTTTGTCAAAGGCCATAATTTTCCTTCCTGGAAGTTGCCGCGAATTTTTCCGTGTCGTTTCCTGATAAACCGAAAATTTCTCCCACCAGACTAAAACGACAGTTAAGAGTTGTAAATCTTCAATTTTAATAGACTCTTTTCCAGACCTTGGACAATTTTATTCTCAGACCGTTACCTGACCTTGAATCCATGAAAGACGGTTATTAAAACAAAGGTCAATGAGAACTTAGCCAATGGAGCCAATGATAACTAGTGTTTAGAACATGGAAAAGATCTCGTGCGCGGGAAATCGCGGACATCTCAGTAACGACTGCTTTAAGTCTTGCTCTGATTGGCTGAGAGGTTAGAGCGAAATTTCCGTGACCACTCACTAAGCGGAATGCAATTCTGGACCACTTTTAAAGGCTCTATTCGTTAGGAAACCAGTGGACTTACCTTGCTGATCAGCTTCAGCGTTACAGGACACCAGGGCACTCATGGATGGATATGTTATCATCGATATTGACGCCAGGGATCCAGCTGCCCACATCATCCTACAGACACAAAGAAGACGAGAAAGAATTCAAGTGGATGCGTCAACATTTCACTTTAATCAAAATTACAACAAATTGGGTATCACCAGCCCGATTTGAGCCTTAATAGAACAGTTTACGATTCATACTTGTAAAAGGACAGTGTAGCGACGTGCCTGTGTCATTGGACAGTACGCGTTCTTTGCGCGCACCGTTGTTGCGCATTTTTCCGAGTTACATGAAGAAAGATGGTAAGTTTTAAGCTCGGTAAAGGAAGAGAAAAAGATGTTTTTCGTCTTGTCACAAGCGTGGGACAAAGAAAAAATTCTGAGTCCCATGAGGAATCGAACCTCAGACCTTAGGATTCCGCGCTTCGATGCTCTACCACTGAGCCACAGACTATCCCGTATTACTTTGGAAACTCAACTGAAAATTGTAGCAACTTACCAAAACTGAGTTCCGAGACCATACCAAGATAACTGAAGAATTTCAAATATTAAACCAATAAGAACGCAATTCTTCAATCCTATAGTTTTCTTGAGACATGTAAGGACTACAGTCTGAAGACAGAACAAAACAAAAGAATCTGTAAACATAATTTATCAAAAACATAGGTTAAAATTCTGAATTCAAATTCGCCTACGGGACAGGCGTATTTCTTTCTGCTTTTTTCCTGCGTTTTTCAGGAAAGCAAAGGCACGCGCGAGGCTCTCGTACGTGACTCGCAGTTCACGCTCTCGTCACACTTCCCTCGGACTCCCCTAAAAAAACCAAAAAGTGGCGCTTACCCGCAGGCCAAATTAACCACATTTTCTTTTATCTGTGCAGCGAGCATTTCAACGATTATTGGTCATTAAAAGAAGCAAGAAATAAATGCATTTGACCGACAGCCTAGGGAGGGAATGTCCTTTGTATGCTGTAGTCATCTGATCAACCCTTTAACTCCAAAGATCTGATTGTTAATTCTCTCCTCTAGCTGCTACACATTTCTTTGTAAATTTACTTGCAAGAGTTTGCTGTTAGATCAAGGTAACAACTTATAGCTGGTAAGTTTGAGTATTCTCATTACCTTTTTGCTGGATAATGTATGGATACTGTACGGAGAGGTTACATGTTAATCACTTCTGGGAGTTAAAGGGCTTAGTGTTGTATGCTTCAAAGACGCTATAACCTGAGATCAACCGCAACAACACATTATAATATCCTTACCTGGGAGATAACTGATAATACACCTAACACTGCTATAAATGTAGCCACATCGTCTGAAGTAAATTTTATAACCTAGCAGAAGACCACAAGAAGAAAAAAACTTGAAAAAAATGTTTTGTAGAAGAATACTTATGTTGTAGATTAATTTAACCCCATAATTTAAAAGATTTTAAGATGAATACTCCCAACTGATGATCATACAATTATTTGTGCGCTAGCCCACAAAATCAGGAGTTGAATCAAGTTGATAAAAATCTTAATTCTCGTCACCTGTCTGTTCAAATGTGTATTAAAGACGTAAAGAGAATTTCAAGCTGTGTATAAGTCACAGGAGAATTCTCCAGCTTCCAAAAGTATTCCCTTTTAACGGAAAAGGGTGTCCACATATGGGAAATTTTAACCGTCCGTTTTTTTTTTTGGATGGTCTGTTGTTATAGTTTGCATGTTCAATAAAGCTTTCATTTGTGAATGACTTACTTGCTTGAGATACAGAAACATACAAGAATACTGGCCAGCTTCAGGTAGATATGACAGGAACACTGTAATACACATCAACAGAACTATAGGATCCTGGCCAACTTTGCGTAAAGACTACAACAGAAACAAACAAAACAACACACAATTACTTGCTAGTCTGAGGAACAGATTCAAGTGACTTTCTAATACTTCCTTTTCAACCCTTTAACCCCTAAGAGTGATTAGCATCTAGTTTCTCCCTACAATATCACCCCTGAATCAAACATTAACGTCATGAGAATAAGGGAAATGATCACTAACTAGAGGTGCTCTCGATTGATAAACAAATTCTCCTTGTCAGCACCTTAGGATTGTATAGAGAATAGTATGGAGAATATGCATACTGATGTTGGGGCGTGAAGGGTTAAAGCTTGTCATGCTTGTCACAAACAATGTATATTTGAATTGAAGATGGCAACATTTGGTGGCACTCCTAAACCCTTAATCCCCAAAAGATCTGCATCACATTTCTCCTTACAATACCAGCTCAAAATCACTGGTAAAGGTCTGGAGAATCAAGATTTCAAGTGATCTACAAATTGAGATTGACTGATTTTTTCACACTTTATCACAACTGATGCAGCAATATGAAAATATATGGAAACCAGTAATGTGAATTTTTATGTTGACCAGAGTTAGAGAGTACATGTAAATAGAACGTGTTGAAAAGGTTGCTGTTTTTACTCACGGCAAAAGGATCAGCCTGTTCCCAGGAGATTGGTGCTCCCCAAGATGCTGGCCTCACCCGTTCAGGGAGAGACTCGGGAACAGCAACTAAAATAAACAACAGATCTGAAGCAGCCACAAAAGTAGCTAGCGCCACAACAGCCCTGTCATCATATATTCTACCAAGATATGCTCCGAGTGCTGGACTTATGATTAGACTTGCTGCAAATGTAGCAGAAACCTGGGGGCAAAAAAGAAGAATTTTACAACTTACAATAACATAAATGGGTTTACTACATACTAGTATATGACTGCATTTAGTCATAAAGTTGGGTCTGTTGTTCCATATGTCAGTGGTTTGAGAGGTGCCAGACATAACAGGAGGAATTAGGTGAAAGGACTTTGTTCCTACAGGTGCTGTGGGTAGTGAATAGCTTCCAGAATCAACAGTAAGAAAGAGTAGGGGGGGGGGGGTGACAAGGTGACACCTCACAAGGTGGTGTCTAAGAATAAGAATAGACCCTCCCCCCCTTCAATAATTTAATCTATGAATTAATCCATCAGGTTAAGCTGTACTGATAAGTAAATCTTACCAGTCCATAAGCAGTGCTTCTATCACCTTCGTCGGTACAGTCAGCTACATAGGCAAATGCTATTGAAAAGGTGACTGCAAACATCCCAGAAACTGAGATCATAGCAAAAAACCACCTGAAAAACAAAGTATACTTTCAGGAAAAGATGAAATACCCACCTTTATGAAGCTTTAGGGCAAATAGGAGCTGCTTAATGGTTATCACAGTTGAACAGTCCTGTAGTAAGCCGTCACCCACAGAAAATGGCGGGGTAACCCTTTAATATAGGTTGACTACTAAATACAGGTTCCACAGAATAGAATTTAACCACAAAAACACCACCTTGTTTTGTTTTTTTTTTTGTAATGTTGCAACTTTAACTTTCCTTTATTTTTTTCTTCTTTCTCCTTTTTTTTTTTTCTTCTTTCTCCTTTTTTTTTTCCCTGTGTATGCACCCAGTTTAATTTATTGTATGTATGCTGTAACCTTTTACTCTACATCAGTATATATCTAGTTGTAGTAGTCTTGTATGTAATGAGTTGTGAAAAGAAATAAAGCCGTAATAAGGGGAAAAACCCACCATCTTGTCCTAACAGTCATAAGGAAAAAGATAATCGGCAATGCATTGTGGACATTTGAATTCAAAGTGCTAAGATTGATTTCAGGAGAAAAGCATAGAGTCATAACTTACCATGGGTTAAATTGTAGAAGAGGGATAGGTATGCAAGTGAAGAAAACAGTTACAAGTAGAAAGGATTTACGTCCCCAAACATCCGAAAGGGCACCAATTAGTGGAGCACACAGAAAAGATAATATTCCCTGAAAAGAAATTGAAATTCCTCATTATTTTGTAAGTGAATTCATAGACTACAAGCAGTCTCTCTTTTACTGTAAAATCTGTCACAGAAGTCAACGAAATTCAGTGAAAAAAGCTAGCCTCAATTTTTTTAAACTTATTTTTTCATTTCAACTTGTGAAACACATTCCACCAATAAGGAGAGGGAGTATTTGTTGTCTAGCTTTTACATTTATTGAAATCCTGGCAGCATTGAAATGAGTACACGTGTCTTAACAGACTTACACTGAGCACTTAATATTTACATGAGAAAATCACAACGATCTTTAGCAACTTTAACATTGCAATTGCATGTAAAAAATATTCTTCTGTACCTTAACTCCCTGAATTAATCCATTCATTAGAAATGTGTGTTGCTGGAATGTGTTGTGTAGGACCTGCCAGGAAAACAAAACCTTTACTTAGAAAAGTCATAAAATGTATTTCTTTACCGAGCTCAAAACTTACAAACTTTCTCATTCTTTTTTCAAACATAATGCTATCTACATTGCTGATCTTAGCAATATGCAGGAGTTATGTCATACATGAACTTTTTAATGGGCCTTGCTCACCATAAAGTCTCTGTGGCTCAGTGGTAGAGCATTGGAGAGCGGAATCCCAAGGTCTGAGGTTCAATTCCTCATGGGGACTCAGAAATTTTTCTCTGTCCCACACTAGTGATGAGACGAAAAACATACTTCTGATATAGTACTGTTTCCAAACTGATCATTTATTAATGCAGCTTGTCAACCCTTTCATTCTTAACATCTCTGTCATAATTCTCCTTCCTGTGCCCCCTCCAATTCTCTTGAATTTAGTTTGGAGAATTTAGTTTGGAGAATTAAGTTTAGATCAATTAATAATCCCCCAACTTATATTTTTCTTTTCTGTTTCAGTAACCCAGTTTGAAATCAAAAGCAAACTTCAACTGTGCTTGGTTAGCTCATGAACATTTCAGATTGCCACACTGCTATGCAGAGTCAAAGTTTCAAGCCCTAGACCAGACCAATGCCCAGAATTAAATTAAAGTAAAACATTTCATATACAGTATGTCCATGTGCCATATGAATTAAACATTGTAGAAGGTTCTCTACTAATAATGAAAATAGTGTTTATTTTAAGTACATGCTTTGTTTTTTTTTTGAACATTCACCTCCACTTTTGTCAGATATTGCTTGCATAACCACACCAATACAAACGAACAATATCTACACTTACTGTTGCCTAGTGACCATGATAGAATAAAGTCCACAAAAACAAAAACAGATGCAACATCATCATTATTATGCAAGCGATCACAAAGTGCAGTTATTGTAAGTGACAGATGTATAAAAGATGAAAAAAAAATAACATGATCAGGCATAGACAACAGTTTGTGTCAGGATGGTGAGGTGGCAAGTCCTTTTGACAAGAAAGGTTTGATTTTGTCAGAATATTGTTGGTTTGACTGTCTAGGTTAGAGAGAAGTTGCTGTATTTGGTTTACAATATCTGAACTCAGCGAACTTCCATAACAGTTCCAGCATATAAAAAATGTTTTTTAGTAGTGGGTAAGAAGAGTTGAGTTGTAGGTGGCAGAGGCCAAAGGCCCCTGCCTTCTTGGGGAGTTGGGGGGCATGAAACCCAGAAAACTTTGAAAGTTTCTGCTTCAAATGGTGGTATCGGGTGCATTTGATGGTAAAAATATTTGTGCTTGTGTCTATTCATTGGAGAAAATTATTTCCATTTAGTTCTTTGTTTTTTGCTTGAAGTGTAAAATGGTAGAGACTTCAAATTTGTTGTCAATGAATTTCAGTAGAAAGTACAGAGTAAGTAGCAGATATTTTATTGTAGGTGTCAAAATTGCTGGCTGTTGGCACATTTTGACTGGGCTGATGGTTTCTCCTCTCACTCATTGCACAGTACATGAATGTTGTACATGCAAGCTACAGCAGAATTGTAAATGGCACAATTCAGTAGATGTCATACACAGAGCAGTAAAGTTGTGATATGATGAGGTTTATTCAACCATTTCACTCCCAAGATCTCATTAATTTAGTAATTCTTCTAACTGTCTCCCATACAATTCTTATGATGTTACATGGGGCTCAGAGAATTATTTTGGTGCTGGATCAACTAATAATCACCTAATTGATATTTTTCTTTATTCTCATCACTTGTCTGCTTGATGTTGTATTTAATGCTGTAAGGAAAAATTCTGTCAAAGGGTCTGACACTCTGGCTTTGTTTCAATTAGGCTCTGATCTTTTCCATACATTCTATGTTTAATGGCTAGAACAATTTGGCTTGTTAAACCAGGTTGACATAATTAGGATTGGGGGTTTATGAATTATTGCATCACTGTTCCAAGGAAGACACAAAAAATGGTTCACCCTTTAAATCCCATGAGTTACCAAGACAGAATTTCTCCTTACAATGTTCATACTATATCAACCTGATAAGTGATGAGAATAAAGAAAAGTATCAATTTGTAAATAATTAGTTGATCCAATACTAAATTCTCTGACACTATTAGAACTGTAAGGAGGATTATAAATTAGATCTGGGAGTTAAAAGGTTGAGTGACTAACATGTAGTAACTATAACTTCTTCCCATAATATCTATACATCATGCAACAAATGGGAAAACTCAAACTTATCAAGTAGATGGTGTTTTCTTGATCTTACACTAAATTTTTGTAACTAACTTAAAAGGAAATGTGCAGCAGCTAGAAGGGAGAATTAACAATCAGATCTTGTGGTTAAAAGGTTAAGGCACCATGTTCACTCAGGATGTGGTTTTACACACTTTCCACTTTACCCTTCAGTAGGATGGCCAAGTTGACAAAATAATTTCTGCAATATTGTGATCGGATCAAAAGGTTTTCAAATTGCTAGAATTTGGCTGTAAAGAGGAACAAAAAATCTCTACATGACAAATATCAAAATTTTCAGTCTCAATTTCCTTGTTAACAGATCACTATCAGTTAGAGATTGTATATTGACTACCCAGACAAGAACTTATGGCAGAGGATAAAGGGTTGAACCTATGGAGAGGAGTGTAAAAAGAGGTAACACTTGTGTAGTTCATACAACTGTATTTATCCATTTTAACTCCCAGAAGTGATTAACAAGTAACTTCTCCCTTTAGTATCCATACATTATTGAGCAAATAGGTAACGAGAATACTCAAACTTAAACAGGTAGAAGTTGTTATCTTGATCTATCACCAAATTCTTGTGACTAATTTACAAAGGAATTAGTTGAAGCAAGAGGGGAGAATTAACAATCAAATCTTGGGAGTTAAAGGGTTATATGATAAGTTGAATTATACATGCACTTTGAGAGGTTCTTAGTTATATTTCTACTGGAAGACAGATGCGTTGTTGACATCACCATTAACACCATTTTTCTGTTTAATCATATTAAAATTAAAGAGAGAGATTCTTCATTGCCATGGGTTTGTAAAATAATAGATCACAGAAGACATCAAAATGTAGTAAAAAGCATCAATGACACACTCAACTGTGCCTCATGCACCATTCCTTTTTTTTCCTAACACATTTTGACACCATCAGTGATCCACATGTACATGTATTACAGAACAAACACAAGGCAACATGAAATCTGACTTACCCTGTTCGTAAAAAGTTAGTTTTCCTTCAACCGATGAAAGTAAATCAAGATTAGGAGAATGTAGAGTCTAATTTTGGTCTGTGTTTTACATTTCATGTCATGAGTGTTGTGAAATGGGACAGATTCTTCCCCTAAACATGAGTATCTAGAGCAATGAAATAACTCTCACATAAAAACTTACTGTTAACATAGGTGATGTGAGAAGACCCCAGGCAAAAAATTCCAGGAAGATTACTACTGTGGCATGGTAAACACTTGGTTTTCCAAATCCCTGTAGAGACATTAAGATTTCCAGAATCACTTAATAACTTTATTTAAGTGTCAGTGATATGTAGCCAAGGATAAATTCTTCTAATTTGGGGAGACTAGAATAGGCTTGGAATTATAAAATTAAAAAATACCCAACCTGAATACAGATAAACTTTGACTATCTGGATTTTCCAATTATCTGGATCTTTCAATATTTGGACTATTAAGCCCAGTCCCCACAAGTTTGGATAATTAAAGTTTGACTGTATCATGATAAAATGAACAAATGCCCTTGTAAACATTACAATTAGAGGTTTGAATTTTACTATTTAAATCAGTGAAAACCTATAGTGTTGATATGAAGCCTGCATAATTTAGAGAATTGATGAAAATTACTGTCAAAACTATGTGCTAAAAATGCAAACACTAAATGAAATAAGCAGTCAGAAGAGATACACAGGAATTGATAATTCCTGTCAGATTCTAACTTTTATTCTTAACAAAGTAGATCTAAGCAATAACATAACGTGAGAGAAGGATAGAAAAAAGCCACCTCATTCATAAATTTTTCATCACAAACATAAAAATAAAGAGAATCGATTAACTTAACGATGTGAAATAACCACAGAACACAAAGGCAGAACAATTAAGACAATTTCTTTCCCACATCTTTCTTTGACGATAACACATTCATCAACACGAAGAGATCATGGTTACAAACGTTTGAAACACACTCGTAACCTTATGTTGTCTTACGAACGGAAGCTAGTTGACTAATTGCGCTTTTCCTAAAAAGTTTTAGAGGAAAATAAGATTTTGAAACATCGAAGAGCTAATAGTCAAGAATCACTAGCAAGTTACCATGACTTTTATGAAAGAACACAAGAATGTACCCTGAGCATAACATTAAGCCATTCTTTTGAACGATCTACAAGGGAATAATTTTATAAGAAGAATAAGAGGCTAGTTTGCCTTTAGACACCGTGACGATATTTCTAAAATACTGCTGCGTAATGTGACAGAAATATGTTCAGATAAACGGCAAAGTTATGTATTTGTTTGCAAAAATGACACGATATAGTTAACATGTCCACACATATAACAAAAAGAGCCAATTGGTAATAGATCACAGCCGATCGCTTAACCCATTTCATATTCCTACTGCAGAAAACTCACCGAACCCGTCGGCCCTTCGCGGGAGTCTTTCGATCGCCATTTTCTAGTGCCCGTTGTAGGAAGAGAAACCAATCTCTTAAGACGCTTCTTTCCTATGATTACCTTATGCATCTAGGAAACATTTAGTGTTCACTATTTACGCTGACAAAACAAAAATCTCAGATGAATTATTGTTGATATTCGCTGTTCTTTATGAGGCCAGCTGCTCGTCTCACGCACCGGTGCATAAAATTTTATCAATAACCGCTCTCCAATAAGTTCCATGTGGGCTCAGTTTTACCAGTTTCCCTTGCGCACGTCCGTTTCCGAGCAGCTCTTAGCAGCGCGGGAACCAAACAAATGGTAGATATGGTAAATCTGACTTTGAATTGATTTTACATTTTTATCTCCAAAATGACTTCGTCCTCCTGCTGTTGGGTAAAGAAAACAATAAATGGACCTGTCCCAGCTCCAAGGTAAACTAATTTTACGGTTTTGGGGTGTTTCGATGTCTAAATTGCATTTGACGTGCAAACGGATCGAATTTAAATTCCTATGCAATTTTTTTTATAGATTCGTTTTGATTTTTCTTAAGGCATTATCAGGCGTACTTAAACGGTATCGTGAACCATGATCTGAGATTTTGTATTCTGGATTATGTACAATCACTTTAAGAATAATAAGTTTGTTTCATGTTGTCTTCCTGAGCTCAGTAGCATTTAATTTTAAAATATTATAGTATCGTAGTTTTACGGCGAAGTTTTAAAATATTTCAAACAAATTGATCCACAGCACCATCAGTGAGTCTGCAGAGCGAGTGTAATTTCTAGTCCTTGAAAAAATTTACAGGTGCATCCTGCACGAGAATAATCATTGTTTATTAATAATATATTCTGGGTCTTCTGTATCATGGCAAAAATATTATTTTTTTATTATTACTTTTGTTATAATAATAATTATTATTATTACTATTATTATTATTATCATTTGTTGTAGTAGCAGTAGCAGTAGCAGTAGCAGTAGTAGTAGTAGTAGTAGTAGTAGTAGTAGTAGTAGTAGCAGTAGCAGTAGTAGCAGTAGCAGTAGCAGTAGCAGTAGCAGTAGCAGTAGTAGCAGTAGCAGTAGTAGCAGTAGCAGTAGCAGTAGTAGACTAGTAGTAGTATTAGTACATCAAATTGCTCGAGAAAATGATAGTAAATGAATGAAACAGTCTCAGTTTAACTGTGGGCCAAATAAGATAATTGTTGGTGACCATTAAAATTAATTGCAGACGGTTTTTAGGCCCTTGTCAACCAACGTTCAATGACACTATTGTTTATACAAATTCTCTGAAACCATTTTTTCTGTCAAATATTTTTGATAGAGAGAAAAAAAATATGTTGGCTGTTATAAAATAGTTTTATTCTATAGAGACATTTTAAGTCTGATCTTTTTCATTTGCTGACAAGTCATTAGTTTTCAGTATTTTATCTTTTTCCTCTTTTCTTAAGTTCAAGATTTACAAGAAAATATGTAATGTAAATAATATTATATATACTGGTAATGATACAAATAAAAATGGTAAAATCCAAACCCTACATACTCAAAAAAAAGGTCTTAAAGGTATATAATACTAAAAAGACCTTTTTTTAGCAAGAATCTTTATGAAGGATTTGATTTTAAAAATGTTTTAGTGTAATTTTTATATAAAAAAAATGTTATTACAATTGTTCTTGTTATTTACATGGTGGCCAATTGTGCTGCATTCTTTTTGTTATTTTGATGTTGTACCTTTTTCACCCTTGAACTCTCAAGATCTGATTGCTTCAGTCTACAAATTTTCCTATAAATTAGTGAGGAGAATTGTGTTAGATCAAGATAACAACTTCTACCTGATAAGTTTGAGTTTTCTCAGTACCTGTTTGCTGGATGATGTATTGATATTATAGGGAGAAGTTACTAATATTAAAGTTCACAGTCAGCAACCAGGTGGACAATCAGACATAGTTTGATGCTACTCTGGTTTGCACATTTAATGAATGTAACAGAAGATTACTGAATTGTAACTTCTTCGGTTACATTCATTAAATCTGCAAACCAGAGTAGCATCAAACTATGTCTGAGAAGTTACTTGCTAATCTCTTCTGGTTGTTAAAGAGTTAGATGTTTGAAATGCAAATTGAATGCTTCCTTTTTTTCATTTTAAAATTATTGTTGTAAAAGTGATACTCATTATCTGATAGCAAAAATCAAAAAGGAGTTCATCAAGAGGGTGAAAATTGTGTGTTTCTCAGGCAGGGTCATGCAGCAGCGGTTGTTGACAAGAAGGCGTACATCTTTGGTGGTAGCAGTGGGAGTTGGTTTGGTGGTGAACACAGTGAATCCACTAGTGACCCTGTTTACTTGAATGACCTGTTTGTTCTTAAAAGTAAGTTGCTGCACAAAGTCTGTTCATAGAACCCATCATCGGTCATATTATATCACAAAATGCTTGAAAGGGTTTTCTGCAATGAAAAGCAAGTGCCTTTAATAACACAAGATTATAGGACTCTCAGACTCACTATTGGGGATTTTTTTAATATCTGGATGAAACTTTTGTTCAGTAACGGAATTCTTTAAGGGTGCTCATAAAGCCTTATCTGTTGCCATGGCAACAGGACAGCTGGCTGCTTAGAGAAGAAGAAAGCTGTCAAAAAAATAGTGCACTAAGTTGAAATTGCAATTTTCTAAATTACTGGGGAAGATTTTGGATGAAAGAGTCAACATTTCTTATTCTTAATTAAAGTTTCAATTTTATTTTGCAAATAAACACATTCAGCTTTTGAAAACATACAGGCCCTGCAATGTTCATTTGATTTGTGGCCACCCTTGTTGTTTATAACTTTTGCTAGATAATTTCACCAGAGGATTTTGCTTGGGATTCATTTGTTTGGATCCATTCTCCCTCAGCTGAAATAGCCTTGAGCCTCCTTAAACTTTAAATTATCCAGGATTTCATTACTAGGAAATGCCTGATACCTTTTTTCATTATTAGTTGGAATACAGGTCACCTGGGAAAGATTGCAACAACTGGGAGATATTCCTTGTGTAAGGGATGGACACACTTTGAGGTACACAAAAGGAAGCTTTGTTCAAACAGACAAATTTATGAAATGATAAAGGAGACTTATGACCACAGTTCTTCATTATGGGAACATAATAGACCTTGAAAATAGCTTATTTAAGTTCCAAAAGAAAAAAAAACACTGGGCATGTAGTCTGTATATGTTACATTAAATGCATTCACACCTGAAATCACAGCCCCAAACTGCTTGTGCCTAATGTTAAAGTGTCAATTAATTATTTATAATTAAAAGTGATGTTTAAGTATCATCTTTCGTAGAAATATTTCAGTGACTTAAGGGGTACTAGAAAGGGGTAATCTGGTGCATTTACAACAAAATGTTCACACTGGGCAAAATGGCATCTGTGCCGCTGACTCTTTGTGAAGTCCACAAATTTATTTTCCTTGTTCATTATACTAAAGATCTCATTTGAGAATGTTATTAAATTTTCAGTGCTGTTGGTACTGTTCTCTATCTTTTTGGTGGATCAAATTATCCAGAATCTGATGAATGTTTAGATGGGTTGTATGCCTATGATATTGGTTAGTGTAAATTATGGCATGACTAAATGTAAGCCATTGTTAATGTTAATTACCGTTGAAGTATAATAATTTTTAGGTCAAGTTAAAATTTGATAGAACTTGTTTGACTGTAGAGGAGATGTAGTAGCATAATAATTGGTGTGCTGGACTCCTTCTGAGGGTTCAGGTTTCGAGACTGGCATGGGTAGGGTCAATGGGATGAGTTCTTGTGCAAAACACCTTGTGTTCACAGTGCCTCTCTCTCCCAAGGGGTAGCCTTGCCATTGACTAAAATCTCATCCAGGAGGGAGTAGTAATTTACTTCTAGACGCTTCATGCCAAGGAAACTGGAAGAAGCCCTAGCTGAATAGGCCACTTACCGGTAGCTAGACCACATTGTTAGACCACAGTGCTGTATATGAAAGTTTAGAAATGAGGGTTGGATTAATTCTTGGCGATCAAGAGGATCACGATGGCTGCTTAAAATTTTCTGGGTCTCTGTCAAATATTTTGGGCCTACCAAAAAGAAAAAAAAAATCCCTCATATTGATGAGCACTACATGAGGTAGTTAGTGAGCTAAACAATGTAATTGCAACTCTTTCTTTTTTTTTCTTTTTTCAATCTGTTGGTCACCAACAGATTCACTTGCTCCGGCAACCAAAATGGTCATGGCATGGAGTGCTGATGTGGAGAGAAGGTTGAAGGGTTAAAATAAGAGTAGCATTTAATGATTATTGTATTTTTCTTCATTATTTTACAGGGACATTATCTTGGGAGTTGTGTCCAACTCAAGGACGTCAACCCAAAGCCTTAGGACACACAACCGCAGTAGTAGGAGACACATTGTATATATTTGGAGGAATATATCATGGGACTGCCACAAATACTCTCTACATGCTGAACACAGGTGAACTTACATTAAAGAAATGTAATCTCTAGTTGATTTACAGAATCTTATTTTAGGATATAAACCCCTTTAAGTGGCTGGTATGTTGAATGATAATGTCCATGACTGAGAGATTGTCCAAAGAATGAATATTTGGCTAAGAAGCAAAACTTGTGGGTAAATTGTGAAATTTGAGAACAATCTGGCAGCCAAGGTGTTGTAATATGTCTTTGCATACTAAATAAGCATGCTTGCCATGGTTACTCCCTAGATGGAAGGTTCTTTGTTCATATTGTAATTATATGCAGTTCATGCTTAAAAATAGAATCATTTATTTTGTGTGAGAGTGCAAGAATTAGACTGTTGAGTTGCTGAATAAACTTCACTCTTAAAAAGAAAGCTTGTCTTGTCCGAATACTTCTTCATGTTTGGAGCAAGGAAAGCCCCTGAGGAAACACAAGAACATTATCAGCATTAAAAATATGCCATTGCTATCTGTTGTTCTAACTTGGTATTTTTTGCCAAAGGGAATTTAACATGGACTCCTCTAAAAGCATCTGGAAACCCTCCCTCATCCAGGTATTCATTCTTATAATTGCAGGAATACATGAGTTAAAACTATTTTTTTGTGCTATACTCTCCCTCTATTTTAGTGCATACTAAAACAAATATTTACCTCAGTGTATAGAGGAGTATGTTAACCTTGCCCCCTCACGGCTTGGTCATTTTCCACCATTAGCTACCTCCACTTCTATTAACTGTTGTCAATTTTTCTGTCAATAATTGTTGTAACTAGTCAAGACTTTGAGTAGTACAGTATTTCATGGAATAAGCACTTATTTAAATTTTAGCTAGAGGAAAGGGGGGTTTAAATCATGGGTAGGGCACTTAATCATAGGGGTGCGTATTAATTAGGTTTCTTGATTCTCCTGTGGTTGAAGCTTCAAAAGTTATAAATAAAGTGGCAAGAGAAACAGGGTTTCCTTATATCCCTGACCATTTAGGAAAGTGAGGAATGAGTGTTTGGCAGGGGGGGGGGGGGGAAGTGCTTATTTGAGAGGAGCAGTTGTTTGACATTATGGCCAAGGGGGTGGGTATTGATTTGGGGTGGGGGCTTATTAAAGTGTAATGTTTATTTAAGGACATGCATAAATTTAAGTTTATTTACAAGACACTTTTGACTGGCGATTTGTTGTTTCAGATGTGATCATGCTTGCACTGTGGCTGGTGAGAAGTTTTACATTATGGGAGGGACTGGGGGAAAGAAGCTGTGGTACAATGATTTACATGTCTTTGATACAGGTATGGAAGAAATTGGTTAATATAATGTTTAGTGTTGCAAACTTTTTCATTTCAATTTTTTCTCAATTCCCAAACAAAAGTAATTCGTTATTTCTCCAAATAGTGAAGAAATCCAGCCAAAGTAGACAAATGTTCTAAGTACATCTCTTGATTTTGTTTGCTTTGTAAAGAGGTACCCAGTGGGTCAAAAACTTTTTCCTTTTTCTTCACAAAGAAGGTGAACCATTTCAAAAATGTACTGATGCCAAACACTTTGGGAAAGAACCACTTAATGTCACCAACATCAGAATCCCTCCTGTGTTATAAATCTAACACACCATTCAAAGTTAAACAAAGGGTAAAACGAAAGACTGCTTCATACATACTAATAAGCTTCTTTCAAGTGTGTTTTTTGAGTGCATTTGAAAAAATTGCATGCATGTGCATGCTTGTTTTAATACAGTTTTCATGTGCAGTTAGGGCCAAGTATTTCTGAGCTGTACTGTATATATGTTTGATTTTACTCTGCAGTGACACTGAGATGGGAGGCTGTTAATGTACAGGGTCATAAACCACACACAAGGAGTCTTCACACCTTGTGCGCACATCATAGCAAGGTATTGTATGAAACACCCTTAAAACAGCAGTGAGTGTCTTAAAAAACATAAAGTGGTGTTAAATACTTAAGTTGACTTGATGCTGATGTACCATAGGTTTCTAGTTATGTTTTGGATTGGCAAGAGGAACCATGATGTGGGCATTAGAGGAGTTCTTATTACAGAGGCATGAAGAATTTTGTGAAATGAGCAATGATAATGCTCAACACTTGTACTCCATTGGAAATACTGTACATTTCTGGTTCAGATTTCCCACCCCCAGTGCACAGATGACAGTCAAATGCCTGTGGGAATGCCTGTGGGTCTGTGGGTTTCCCTGAGGAGGGGGGAGGAGGTTAAAGCTTCGAATTGATTGGCGCATTACAAGGTTGAATAAGCGTGAATTAAGTTATCATGATTTGAAACAAGATTTTCCATTTGTCATCAGTTGTTATGTGTGAATTTTGGACCAGTTTTAATTCTCATCCAAATAAATGAGAACAAGAAAAGGAAATGCCCTAGTTTGGGGGAGGGGGGGGGGGGTTACTCATGTCTGCCTGTAAAAAGGGATGGGAGAGTAGGGTTTCAGAACAAATGCATATTTTATTTCCATTTCTATTTGTTACAGGTACATTGACACTTGATATTTCTTTCTTTTTTAATGATAACTGAATTATATTTATTTAAAAGGCATTGAATATATAGATATATCACGATTTGTACATATTTTCAATGGTGCCCCTAATTTTTCATATTTTTTCCATCTTCTTCTACAGGACATTTATTTATTTGGGGGTTCAAACGATGTGGCAAAAGTTACAACACCGTTTGATGACATATACAAGCTTAGTTTGAGTGAGTAAACAGCTTGTTTCTTCATTATCCTTTTTTTGTCAAGACAACTTAACTGTAAGCACTGGAATATGGGCCACACACTCAAAAAAGTTACATCCGAGTTCGGAAACTCAAATTTTGGGAAAAAAACATTAAAAATAAATCGAAAAAATCACTTCAAGGTTTCCGCACAGCCCCCTACTATGGTGAAACAAAGGCGTAGTGCCAAAGGTATTATTTTGTTGTCGATATTGTTTTGTTTCTCTGAGAAGTGTTTGCACAGTGGAGTATAGGGAGGGCAAAATCTTATGGAAATATCAAGCAGAGTCTTGAGAAAGTTGCTCTGTACTAGTTGCTTCATTGAACGTACACCAGAGTAAAATCATTTACCATTAAAACGGAGAATACTTTGAATCCTTCTTTATTATTTTAATATAAGTGGTGTGGTGTTGGCTTGGTATATTCTGATGACGCAGCCATCCTGATTTGCATATTACGGTTATTTAGTATTATCAACTGAGTCGATAACGTAAATTGGCCACCGTAAGGAGTTTCAAAGCTGACGTCTCGAGCGTTAGCCCTTTGTCAGAGCGAAAGATTGAAAGACCCTTCCCTCAGACTGAGGGCTAACGCTCGAAACGTCAGTTGTGAAACTCTTTAGGGTGGTCAATTTACGTTATCGACTCAGTTGATAATACTAAATTACTAAGTGATACTCTCCCACCGACGCAGCGCCACAGTTTCTTTAAAAACCGACCCCCTTTATTGATTTTCGTCTTGCTTGGTTTCTCACTCTACTCTCCATCTAGCATGTAATATATTGCATGAAGTGCAGCCAATCAGATTGCAGCATTCTGTGATAGAGCGTCGGTAGATTTATGCTAAGAATCGTTAGTCTTTGCAGACAAATATCCAAACATATTTTTAGGTGAAATGGGAGCTGTTGTTTTGTTGTTTATACCTGGGTACGTTATCCCGTTTCAGCTAAACTGAAATGGAAGAAACTTCAATGCTCCGGTGAAGGACCTGACAGAAGACACGGGCATACTGCTGTGATGATTTACGGACAGGTAAAGCTTAAATACTTAACCTCGTGTTTGTCAAAGAAGCTAAAAAAAAGGTTTGTGCCCCATCAAGAAAGAAAGGTTTCACGCAGATCGTTGATATTGATTTATTCTCTTTCTCTTCCTTTTCTAGCTCATAATTTTCGGCGGAATGGATGACCAGAAGGATTTTGATGATGTTTGCATATTGCAGACACGTGCTGCCTTGAAGCACCTCCCCCAAGAAATGACAGGCAAGTTACTAAATTAATTCAGTTAAAAACACAGGAATGTTTCTTTCGGGATGGGAGTGGTTTTGCAACTTGTCTGCAGAACGCTCAGTCCTTTGTTTTTAGCTGTGCGTAGTCTTCTCTCCTCCTGTAAGACTGGAAAAATACGGAAAACATTTAAAGAACACAGAGAAAAATATATTTTTAAACATTCTGGCAGTTATTCTCTACTCCAATGTAAAGCTGACTGTTCTTATTTGAATTTTTTTAGAAACAGACGTACTGTCGTCATCTCTGTCCAGGTTTGTTTATTAATACTATCATGATGATGATGATGATGATAATGATTATTATTATTATTGCTGTTGTTATTTTCAAAACAATCTTCTCAAGAGATTTAAGGATTCGTAATCGTTACGCAATGCAGATTTATCTTGAACGGATTGATGTTCCAGCCATAGTTAGCACAGTACACTCATGCGAAGGAGATGTATTGATGCTTTAAACGATAACCGAAACTGGACTTGATTCTTTGCTTTCCTTGAGAATCAAAGCTCTGCACCCTATAGAACCGCCTTAGATCAGCCCTGCCCTCAAGAACCTTATTAAGAAACGCCTAAGAGCTCGCAATCCAGGCGATCATACTGGGTTTAGACTCCTGCGAAATCGTATCAATCAAACGCACGTAATGTCGATCGGACTGCAATAAACGCCGGGTATCTGAAGGAGTGCTCCCCGACTGAGTGGTGGAAGGAAATAAAGCGACTTGGTGGTGTCACTAACTCCTCTGGAGCAGGGAACAATGTGAGGAAGGCTGTCCGTCACCTTGAGGGTGTTCGCGATATATCGCCCACCGACTTTGCTAATCGTGTCAACGGAGCCTTTTTGACTGCAACAGAAGGGTTTTTTCGCTCACCCACAATCCCCGCCATTCAAAACACTCTGGTTTGTTTGCGATAGATTGCGTGAGATTTCGAGCTCTTTGTTTTGACCTAAAGACGAACGACACAATTATCACACATTTTCGACAGACTCTCACAAGGAACACGCACTTTTTTGTACATGTGAGCTCATGGTCACGTGAGCAGTGAGACATAAAACAACAACTCAAAAGCTCGTTAAGGGAGTGGGGAATGGGGAGTGACTAAATTAGTATGTACTGATATCTTTTTCAGTGGCGGTAGTGATATGTTAGGCCCCCTGACATCTTACGATTTGTCGATACAAGTTCCTGCACCGTACAGACCTGTTATTCCTGCTGTTACCGAGGTAAGGATTCAATACAGAATTTCTCCTGACAATACTGTACCAATACTATTTCAAGAATACAAGTGATAAGAATAAAGAAAAATATCAGTTAGGGGGTTATGAGTTGATCCAATACCAAATTCTCCGAACTGATATAAGAACTGTATGGGAGACAGTAAGGAGAATTACCAATGAGATCTTGGGAGTGAAAGGGTTAATGTGATATCCCAAGGTCAACCATGGAGGAAGAACAAAAAAAATTAAAAACATTAACGGAACATTTATATTATTTCATGAAAATGTTTATCTCCTCTCAAGTCCCAAACACAAACACGACGTTATGTTAATGATGCAGCTTTCTTCGTGTCTGCAAAAAAAAAACACACACACACAAAAATTATGGACCTTCACTGCAAGTCTAGTCGCCAATTTTTTTTCTTCTTCCTCTATTGCCCCACTTCTTTCTGTATAGGACTCCTGTATACTTATATTTTTGAAATGTACAAACATTGACAAGGCCAGGCCATAATACCGGGAGCTATGCTCTCTACCCTTTGCACGGAGTGCGTGGGTCCTTTAATGACCCTTGCTAACCAGTACAGATAGGGAAGATGCGGGAGACGGAACCTACGGTTTACTGTTCTTATCGGAGAAGACTACTGTTAAAATGACCAATATCATTTGCAGATGTCATAGCAAAGGCATCATATTCTACTAAGTTATTTTAAGACCCTGAGTGCTGGTCCGATCTTGGGCTTGAACCCTTGACCGGCTGCAAAGCAGTCTGGGACTCTTCAACACGAGCCACTGAACGAAGCGCGGTTATCCACTTGCCATGGCGACCAAAACATTTGCAACTTGGAGTGCTGCCTCGCTGAGCAGGGTCTGTTACAGAACTCCAAAACTGATTGTGTATTTTATTGAATGTGTAGCCTGCTAAACCCCCTGAGTTTGATGATGTGAAAGCGTCGTTCACCAAACGAGTTGAAGAGATTTTTGAAGATCTTTCAAACAAGTATGCGGAGGTTCAAACGTAAGTCTTTGTGTGTGTTTTTTTGTGTACCTGCTTTTTGTTGTTAAGGTTTGTTTTGAGGACTAAACTTTTTCTATAGGCTGCGAAAAGTGTAATCCGTTTGTAATAGTATACTAATGCAAACATTTTCGCACGGTTAACGGCTTTGAGCACCGCAGTTGATCCCTGGTAGTGTAGGGAGATTAAATTGATAAGAAACAATTAAAAATTGAAATTTTGGTTCTAAGGAATTCATTTTAAAAATTGTATCAGTAAATAGGATACTTGAATGATGACTCGTACAATTTGGTACAGGTAAACACTCCTGAACTTTCCAAAGATATAACTGCATTTAGTATTTCCGACTTTGAGAAATCTATTTGTGCTTTAGTTGTGTTGTTGGTGTACTGAGCTCACGCAAATCCATAGTTTGTGTGGTTGATGAAATTGATGCACATAGCGCGGTTGTGGTAGATCTTGTAGAAAGTGCATATGGAACTATCTGTGTGCGATATAGTAAGTGTTTTTGCGGTGGTTGGCATGATTAATGAAATTGACGCACTTGGTGTAGTTTCTTGATGTTGCGGTAATTTGGCCATTTGAAGCTGCTGCTGGATTTGTTGTGCTTTGCGTATTTAGTGTTGTTGCCTTATTTAATGCCCTTTTGGTGCAGTTTTGGCAGCTTGTGCGATTGGTGTTTCCGATCGTAAAACGTCAAACTTGAATGTAGAGTTGGTTTTGTTCGAAGTATATTCTTAAAACTTTCTCTGTGAGGCACACTAACGGATTCAGGTCTTGTTATTGAAGACTACCCCTCTGCGTCGCAAGAGTTTGTCTATCAAACACTCACAGCGCTGTAAAATTGATTCTTCATACACAGCACAACCTTTTTCATGCCTGTTTCGTGCGTCTTTTTCAGACAGAGGGAAGCGTTGAAGAACGCGGTGGAAGCTTTCCAAGAAGAAAGGACATCACATATTGAGTTGTATGAGAAACAACAGAAGGTAAAAGCTGACTTTATGGTATTATCATCATTTCTCGATACTTATTACCATACAGTTTATTATTATTATTATTATTATTATTATTATTATTATTATCATTATTATTATTATCATTATTATTATTAATTAGATGAATTTACGTTGTTTTCGTTCTGCTTAGGAAAGGTGCGGCTTAAATTGTGCGTCGATAAATTCGAAGCTTTAACATTTTTGCCCCCCTTCCTCCCCGGGGGGGGGGGGGACCTTGTTCAAATGCCCTAACAAAGTGCCGTATTTGATGGTCGATTTTCTAAAAGGCAAAATCAGCAGCCATGACTTTCCACTCATTAACCAAGCTTCAAGACATAGCCTTTAAAGACCTTTTCTTCTGAGCCACCAGCTCGCGAAATTGAACTCTCTTTACCTTTAAAGACTTTTATATTAAAAGGTAAACACATGTATTCCGCCGGAAGGATTTGACACTTCCAGTCCAAATCCCCCTAACCCCCGGTCACGGATGACGGTCAACTGCACTTGGGTTGCCTGAGGGGGGGAGGGGGGAGGAGCTTAAGATCTGAATAGATCAGCGTATTATGTTTATATACTCTTACTCAAAAGGAGCTGGAGGACATGATAAACAAACACAGAGTAGAAAATGAGGAATGGATAAACGCACGGAAACAAGAACTTGAGGAGGAAAGACATAGATTAGAATTGGAAAAGGTATTTTGTAAAATTGCTGATTTTAATTTTGATATCTTTTAACAGTTATTTACGTTGCACTTCGGATTTTTTTTAGCCTTCCAACACAACTTGAATTGGAATCTTTAGTAATTATTGACTTGCCGTTCATATTTTTATTTATTTTTGCTTACTTGAAACGAGGCTAAATGTAATTTAGTTTAGGTTAAGTCACAGCAGCGGTTTACTAAGCCGGTTAGGAGGGAGACTTTGCTATGTGCTTTCACTCGGTTTGCTTTGTTACTGTGTGTACAGTTATTTGTTCTTGTAATTATGGTGTGATTTCGCAGTTTTGTAGCGTTCCTCCTGTGTCCTTTTTTTGTAATGTACCACCTTGTACTGTATTTGCCACATCTAGAATACGTGTTGAACTATCGTTGGTTGTGCATTTTTTTTTTTTTTCAAAGTCAGTTTACTGCTGTTGATTTTCGTAGTGTTGATTGCTTGTTTTTCATGTACTTAAATCAGTTTCACTGTTCTTTTAACAGAGTCAATTGGTTGAAGAAAGGGAAAGACTTCGAAAGGAAAAGCTAGAATTTGGCGAAAAAATTGAAGCTATCGAAAAGCTCGGTGGTGGAGCCAACCATCTATTGAATGGAGTTAGCTAAACACAGAATCATTCAATAATACATTGGAGCACTATTCGACTGACTGTCGTAAAACCGAAACCATAATAATCACAACGACCAATCAGAAGAAAGGAAAATACCTTAAAGAGCCAATGAGAACTCAGAGTACAACCGACAAAACTTTCTAACGCGCGGGAAAACGCGGGCGACGAAGTCGTGACTGGTATCAGTTTTGCTTTTGATTGGTTGAGAGAATGGCGCAAATTTGCGGGACCAATCAAAACGAATAAAAAAAACGACAACAACAAACAATCACGGATCACTTTCCGACCCTTGATTGGAATTTGCATCTAGACTATCAACGAAATTAACTAAGTAGAGAATTCCACCAAGTGAATCGAAACACCTCACAGAAAAGCACTTCAATGACGCTTTACATGTAATAAAGCACAAATATTTGTTTATAATGAGTAGTGTCCGTATTTCTTCAGCGGAGTATATTCTTTGCCCTACCCAAACATAATTCACCGGGGCGTTATTGCCAGTGAGATTTATAAACGGGACTACAGTTTATCCCCACCATTCCGGTCCTCATTAAAACAGTGATACCCCTCCTTGATTCATTTTGCCCTCTTAGTTACTTCCACCCCACCCCAGGGTGTTGTTAAGGAAGCCCCCCTGTCTCAGTGACTGAATCTTTTCTAGCGCAAGATACTCCACTGATCAGTCGCCATCGCCGAACGAATTCGAGCTCGCTGATACAAATTGCTAGACATCAATTAATGCAAGGTACGCACCCCTTCCCCCCCCCCCCCCACATTCCCCTTCTCTTAGAAATTACTTGATTCCGTTGTTCTCTTTGCCATGGTACATGTATCAACAATGCCGCTTTAAAAACGATTAATCCCTGAGAAGGTACCTCGATTTCTGCGTCAAATAAGAATAATAATAATTATATAATATCAAAGCAGATATGTTTCGTAAAATTGAATAAACCGGCCGTTCACCGGAATTTAACGGGAGTTACACCAACTTTAAACAGACAGGTACATTTGATTGCGTATCGAATCTTAACCACCGATTGATTATTCCGTGTTCAAACCAAGGGATATAGAGGTTCTGGAGGAGGAGAAGGGGGGGGGGGGAGGGGGGGAGGGTGTTGTGAGGCAGGCAACCATGTTAGATCGGCACAGTCAGCATAGTCTAGGTCCAAATGAGAGATACCAAAATGGAGGAACGAAATAACGAAAACACTTCCCTTTCTGGAGGAGGTCAAGCAAAAACAGTAGCTCCTTAGAAAACGTCTAGTGAATTCCACCTCTCATGGACTTGAGAGTTGACATCTTGGACCTAAGCAACACTCGTTTAGTCGTTTTATTTGGAAATCCATATTTGTGCCCTTCTCTGTACATCCCACCCCACCCCACCCCCCTCTCTCCCCTTCCAGCCACTGTACGTTTTACTTGAAAAGGAAAAATTGTTTAACAATCAAAGCTTCTTAGGTTGGCGTTGGCGATACGCGATCTTAATGAACGACTCAGGGTTATTAATGCGAGGAGAAATTAGACACTGGGCGCCCTTAGGATTTAAAGGGTTAAAAAAGAATGTTTCTGAGGATCTAAGCAGAGCAATTGAACGCCGGTGAACGGCACTTCGACAATCTTCGCTGTGATGCCGAAAAGTCACGAGTGTCACGAGTGTTTGAATTCAGTACCTAATAACGTGACATCGATGACATAAGAAGCGAGAAAGCTTGATCTTGCCTGGGAAACCACCTGGCGCTGTGTATACCGCAAAAAGAAACATGGAGCAAAAGAAATAACTACGTTATATTCTATTCCAGGGAGCAAGAAGACATCTGGTTGAAGTGTGCATTTCCACCGAAGAGATTCAGACAGCGGATTTCCACGGCATACGAAACGCTATTTTTATTTATTAAATATGGCGGCCATTAGTAGAGAGCCGAACCATGAATACAGTATTAGTGTGACTGCTGTCGTCAGCGAAGCAAGATGTCTTCGCGAATTTGTGAAAGAAATCGCTCCAAGTATTACTGTTGATAATCTGAAAACGATGAAACGGTTTCTGCGAGATGTAATCTCGTTGAATGTTGGTGTTGAATCTGACTCTGGGGGAGAGCTCATGGCCACTCTTACGACTTGTCATTGTGTGAACGACTACGATTTGGATCTTTTGGAATATTTACTTGGTGTAACTGGAAGGAATGATAATTTAAATATGCTGCGGGAGTTTAGGAGGAAATGCTCTCCAACTCTGGACAGTATCCCGGAAGAAAGAATCAGCGAAATCTCTCCAGGTAGGATAAGATTAAATTTTTAATTTAAAGGCACATCTGATAGGAAACTTGCGAAACTGTATCTGCCATTTCTTTGGTTTCTTTTTTGTTAAATGATTAGGTCCCAGAAGAAATGTTATTTGATGTAATCCTATCGTTAAATTATGCTTTACTGACTGTTTTTCTAGTATGATCATCACGGCAATTAACATTGCCTCAAAGCAGTCATTACTATTTCCAGAAAATCTCCCTTGCTCATAACTGATTCTGTTTGGCTAGTGAAAAATATAGAGTTCACCATGTTGGAATTATTTTCTTTGTAATGCCGCTGGCTCTGAGGTGTGTGACAAAGCGGAACGCTTTTATAGAGAAGACTAACAGACTTTTCTCAGGTGAGAAAGTAGTCACTAGTCTTCTGGGAGAGGAAGTGTCGCATGACAGCCTCGTGGGTTGTCCAGAACGCAAAAAGAGGAGCTAAATGATAGAGCATGTGACCTTCTGTACAACTAAAGGCATGAGACTACTTTTTGCCAGTATCTAAGTTGGCTAATAGGTGTTGGGTATCACCTGTGACTGACTGTTGAATTAAATTAATACATTTTTTTATGAAACCAACAGCTTCTGATTTCTCTACACAAAGAGAGTTCTGTATGAGTTTTGCACTCAGATTTCTAGATTACAGGTTCTCACACTGGGTTTATTTTGTTCACAGCTTTTTAGGCTGGGATTTGGAAGAATATAGTTAAGCCTGAATCTTGGATTTTAATGAGGATCTCGGCGTCCTGGCGAGTCTTGTATTTTACCATTCTTTACTTCTTGTATTGACTTAGACTTCAAATAAGACAGATATATTGAAAGAGTTGTCAATAATCTCTATGACAATTCATCAATCAATTCTCTCACAGCGTAAGAGACAGGTTTATCAATTGTATTGATACTGACGACTACTATACTGTGAGTCTTTGTCAGGTGATGAGGTTGAAAGTTTATATATTGCTTTTTATAGCATCTTGGTGTGTTTTGGTGCACTGTCATTGGTGCATTTCAATCCTCAATATTATTCAGACTATAAGATGTTGTTCCCTCATGATCCACTTGGTTACTGATCAGTTATAATGTTTTTTTATAGTACATGTAGTTAATCCATGCTTCTGGAATTTTGATCCACTACCACCCCTCTAACATGTCTATAGAATGCCAAGTGTGGCAACATTATTGACGCCATACGAAGGGGATTTATACAACATTGATACTAATCCATGGCAAAGAATGTTGACAATCGAAGCAGATTATTATTAAATTTAATGATTAACCACTTGGATACTGAATGGGAAATTGAAATTGAGCCATCATCATGGCATCAAAATAAGATATGATCAACAAGTATTCCTTCTGAGGGATGTATCAGGATTGTTTGTAATCATTGGCCTCTGGCACCACACGCTTTTCTTCTTGTCGAAAACAGAGTCAATTTGACCCATTTTAGTGGTATCAGGAAGAACTCAAAAGCCTGACCAAGATAAAAAAAATAAATCTAAGGGATTGAGCCAACCAGAAACCCTTGTGACTCCTGACAAGACATCTTTCATTTTTTAACAGACAGTTTACAAGTTTTGCTTTTTTTGGTTTCCCTCATTGAACGTTTTATGTAAAGACAGTATGACGAACATTACGTAAAACAACATTAAACTGTATCAGTTTATATCTACTTCAATGTCATTGCAGAATCGTGAATATGTAATTCTCCTATTGCATTTCCATGACAATCTGTTTTGAAGTGGATAATTTTTAAATGTAATAACAGTCTGCTTCAAATGACTTCATACACTATATTTTGCAGCATATAAGTTAAGTATCATGTAATTGATCCTCTGCTTATGGTGTCATCATTTTTCTACTGTTGGCACCACATGTGTGGACCAGTGAGAGTCATTGTGTTTCTCTAGCAGTATAACAGTCAACTGTTGCAAACAATACAATTGATTATGTGACCTATACATCATGAGACAAATGATTAAATGTTCATTTATCCATAAAACCACAGTAAACAACAAAATTTTCTATAATGATCTTCCCAGAAAGAAAAAAAAATCCTGAAAGGATTAACACAGAACTTATCCCTGTAACATCCATACATTATCCAGTAAACAGGTAATGAGAATACTCAAACTTATCAGGTAGAAATTATTGTCTTGATCTAACTTTAAATTCTTATCACTAATTAACAAAGAAATGTGTAGCAGCTGGAGGGGAGAATTGACAATCACATCTTGAGAGTTAAATAGTTAAAAGCAAGCTTGATTTTCCCGTCTTCACTTAGTCTGTGTTCTGGAGAAGTTTAACCCTTTACACCCTAACATCAGTATGCATATTCTCCATACTGTTCTCTACACATTTCCTAACTTGCTGACAAGGAGAATCTGTTTAACAATCAAGAGTTTCTTTAGTTGGTGATCATTTCCTTTATTCTCATGACCTGGATGTGTGATTCAGGGGTGCAATTGTAGGGAGAAATTAGATGTGTGTCACTCTTAGGGGTTAAAGGGTTAACCCTTTAAACCTTAACATCAGTATACATCTTCTCCATACTCCTCTTTATACATTTCCTAAGTACTGGAAAGGAGAATTAGTATATTAATCAAGCACATCTTAAGTACGTGAAAATTTCCTAAGAATGATGAAAATAAAATTTTTTCTATCTTATGACCTTAACCCTTTACACCCAGACATCAGTATACATATTCTCCTTACTGTTCCTATACATTATAAGGTGCTGATGAGGAGAATTTGTTTCATAATCAATAGCTTCTGTAGCTGGTGATCATTTCCTTTATTCTCGTTACCATAATGTGTGATTTGGGGTGATATTGTAAGTAGAAATTAGATGCTAGTCGCTCTTTGAGGTCAAAGAGTTATTGCAATATGAATGAAATTACTAAAAGTTCAGTTGAGGTTCATGCTTTTTTTTTTATTATTCTTCATAGCAGAGGGAAGAGCAATGGTGTCTTTCATTTTAAATGAAAGTTTCCAGGACATTACTTTGCATAAAGCCCTTTCCTTCAAGAAGAGCCTATGCAAGCATTTGAAGTTGATACCGGCTGAGTTCACTTTTGTTACAACAGTGAAGATTCCACGAAAGCATCTGGTGTTTCAGTTGCCTTCAGAAGTGCTCCCTTTTCTGCGGCATTGTACTGGATGGAGAAAGGAATGGCTGTTTTCACTCAATGTCAGTGGTGTACAGGTCTCTGGAGAAGATGAAATTTCAGTTCATGAACTGAAAATATCTCAACTTAGATTGCAAGAAGATCCAGGTATGACAGAAATTTGAAATCTCAGTATACTTAATGTAAAAAATGGTAAATGAATTGTTGAAGTTTAGAGCTGTAATTAAAAGCTAAATGTTGTTGTAGCCCTCTTCCTCCTTTCCTTTGCAATACAGGTGTTAAAAAGCAAGACATCTTTCTGAAAGTACCCCATTAAAAATGCTCATATGATGGACCATGCAGGGA